AACTATTGTAATTTTTTAAAATTATTATTTTAGTTCATAGTTCGCCAATAATATATTTAAAAGTGATAAATTTAGACAATCATACACCACTAATGATATTTAATGTGATGTTTTCATTAATAAAGATATTAGTAGGTGAATTTTATGCGATAGTATTTAACAAATTTTTAACAAAATTTATGTATAAGAAATAAAATATATTTTTTTAAATTATAAAGACAAAAAAATAAGTCTTAAATATGATGGACTAAAAATAAATTTACGAATATATTTAAGTCTATAATTTATATGATAAAAGTATTTATTTATAATAAATTTTAATATAGACTCAAAAGATATTGGTTCCATTTAACTTTTTGTTTTTTAAATTAGCTACATATAAAATATTAAAAATAAATAAAGTGACATGATTTGGCCCAACAAAAAATATATAGCCCGTGTAAAAGTTAGCCAAACTTTATTCTCTTTTCAAGCTTAACTCAATAAATTATGAGTTAATTAAATTTTTTTTACATTGACAATCAATTATATTTTTTAATTGTGTTATGTCACTATTAAAAGTAAATGTGTTTAAAGTGACATGTCATAATTAAAATATATAATTGGTTGTTAGTGTAAAAAAAATTTACACTAACAGTATATAGGTAATTAACTCATAAATTATATCGATTTTCAAGTTTAGTTCAATAAATTATACAGGTAAGTTTGACAGCTACAATCCATGATGTTATGCTTGTTATGTTGCCACTACATCAACCAATGGTTAAAATTGTAGTTTTATTCAAAAATTATCTAAAATTAGTTAAATAAAATTAATTATGACTATTTAAATTAAAGTTTAATATACGTTGTCTGTATAAAAGTTTTTATTCTATCAACTAATAAAAAATCACCATTCATATAACCTTTTAGATAACTTTTGTAAAAGAATAAATTCATAAAAAAAAATAGTTTGTGATTAAATAATTGTATAAAATTATTTTATAATGTTAGTTCATAGTCATTTTTCTCTTTAAATTAATCCTGAAAATGAAATCTAAAGTTATTTAAAGACTAAAACAACTATTAACTAACAAAAAAAAAATCTATTTTGTACTAAAATGAAATTAAACTAAAACATTCATAAAACGTGCATATATAAAATAAAACTACATAAAATAAAGTAAATTGTTGAATGAGCATGAGAGCCATCATAATTGAAACAAAACAAAACAAATAAATAAACAAGAAAAAATGTTTCAATATCTTTTAACGTAAACACTATCCTTCATGCGTGAAGATTTTGTTGCATTTCATTTGTCACTACCAAAGAATTTATTTAGTACTTCAATTATTAATTTGATACATATAAAATCATGTTTAATAATGGAAGTATTTATATAATAAAAACAATAGTAATAAATAAACAAAATAATTTGACGCTTAATTTATTATTGGGTGGATATAAAGGGACATAAAGGTATCTCCAATGGAAACAATTCATTTGAGTTGCTTCATGCATTGAAAAATGAAAAAAGTGGTCTCTAGCATGCCATGTCGGCATTAAGCAACTCAAACACAAATTTACACCAATGGTAAGAAACTTTAAGAAATTCAACTTTTAAATTTTTTTTCAAATCATTTATGAACCAAATTTATATTTTTATTAAAAGGGATATTATTTCTAATCATTTACAAGAAAAAAATACACAATAAGTAGATATTAAAAATAAAATAAAACAATAGTAAATACATAAACATTATACGAAATTAATTTTTGGCTCAAAACCTATTTTGGTCCCTTATAATAATTGTTTGTTTCAATTTAGTCTCACTTTTATTTTTCGTTTCAATTTGGTCCCAAACTAATTAATTGGTTTCAATTTGGTCCCTAATAAATTAATTGGTTTCAATGTGGGACTTTCGTCCAAATTATTTAAATGGAGTTAACTGTTCGCCACGTGGATGCCACGTGGATAACAAATTTTTTTGAAAGCAACTGGAACCAGAACGGGCCGTTCTGGTTGAACTTTTGATGTGTTAATTTTGCATCCGGAACGGCCCGTTCGAGTTGCAAAATTAACACACTAAAAGTGCAACCAGAACGGCCCGCTCTGGTTTCAGAACGGGCCGTTCTGGTTCCAGGTACATTCAAAAAAATTGGCATCCACGTGGCCAACAGTTAATACCGTTAAAGAAATTTGGACGGAAGTCCCACATTGAAACCAATTAATTTATTAGAGACCTAATTGAAACCAGTAAAGGATGAAATGACATGGTATTTTTTCTTGAAATCATTAACGATGTACCCCAACAACAACCTGTTCTTGAAGAGGTAGAACCTGAAGTAAAAGAAGAAGATACATAGGACTAACATTTCACCACACAACTATATGCGGGGACAGATCTAAGTTAATCATAGTGAGGGCACTTGCCCTCACTAAAATTTTTTTCATTCTTTTTTTTATATATAAAATATTAATAATTTTATAAAATATATATTATTAATTATATTTTAATTATGTTGTTATATCTAATATAATAAATATATTAATTTTTTTTATTTTTTATTTTATTATTTAATTATTTTTTATTTTGTGGTAAAATTATCTTCATTTTTAATGAAGAAA